GAAAATTGAATTTTGGCCAGCTCCAAAGACCACGAGCAAAGAGACAACTGCTGCAAACGGAAAACCCAAGGGTCTGCTGTGCCTGTTTTCCTGGGCACGATCGACTTGGCCGAAATCTATTTTCTTTATGGAGCTGGAGAGATTCGTCATATGCTCATGATGGGCTGGCGGGGGAGGAGGGGGGGGGGGGGGCGGAAGTACAGCATCGATGGACTTGACGCCTTGGCTCCACCAGGAGATTCGCAAATCAACAAAGGAATCACTCACGAAGATTTTCGGCGTGACAATTTTCTTTGGAATAAAGAACTAGGCCGGGCATTGATCATCGACTTTCACCGGTATATATTGAAATGTCGACCGACTTTGCAGCGATCACGAGCGGTACAACGACAACTATGTCAACCAGAGATGGGAGATACAAAACGTCTTTGTGTAACGGGAAGCAATATGCTTATTTTTTGGATTAGCAGTTCAAGTATGCATGATAATGAAGCATGAAGCACTTCCAGTCCACATCCTCGTGAATCAACCAGAACTTCGACCTATTATCGATCCTTGATGCCCGCTTTTCCACTTCACCTACATTGCCCCAAGAGGGACTCCGCTTCTATATGTGTTGACAATGACAAACTGACCGTCCAATTCTGGCTCTCGCACTTGACTTTTGTGTGAGGTGATGAATGATATGAAAACGTTGATTCAACTATGAAGCTTCAGTAACGATATATTGGACTGTCGTGTGCAGTACTAATCGAACATATTGCAATAAGAGACCGACTGCTCGACAACCTTGAGAAACGAGATAATCCACAGGACTTTCCCAGGTATGCTACTAGACATACATTCCATCAACAGGCCTCTCTTTGCCAAACTCCTTTGAAAACTTCTTATTGGAATCGGCTGCTAACTCCAAGTATTTGTAGGTCACCTGATTGACGTCAGCCTCAGCGAGAGCATGTGCGATTGCTGCGATGTTCTTGATCTAGTTCATGTTAGTCAACAAGTGAGAAGTGCAGAGCAGCTCTCTGGAACCCACCTCTCGCCCATTTAGAGTTAAAGACTCCAATCGTCGGAGATCGTACTCCTCAACGACGGCAGGTCCTTGCATCGTACATGCCTTGGACAGAAAGGTTGACCAAAGATCTCTGCGAAACTCTCTCGTCAAATTTTCATACTCGATGGTCAAATGGATCCGGCTTAGAATTGCGTCATCAAACTGGATACCCCGATTTGACGTCAAGAAAAGAATTCCTTGATAATATTCCAGCTTTCGGAGGAAAATGGTCACAAGGCGATTGTGGGTATCGTGGTATGAGGTACGCTGCTCCATGAAAGCGTCTGCCTCATCCAAGAGAAGGACGGCATCAAAATGTTTCGCGATCTTAAATACTGTTTCAAGTTGCTGCTCGAGCGCGTTGGAATCTCCGTGGTCTACAACAAGTTCGCCTGCGGATATCTGAAAAAATCAGTGACGCCAAAATCAGCCGAGCTGGATAGTTCATACCGAATAGAGGGGGAGCTTGAAATACTCCGAGGTTGCCTCAACCGTGAAAGTCTTACCGACTCCCGGTGGGCCACTAGCACGAGTTAGTTGGAAGTCTTGATAGTATAGGCGCTTCGCCGACATACTTCAGAAGAATGTTGAATCCTTGGCCCTTTCCGTCAACTACGTCGTCGAACGGTACCATCGGTATCATCCCTAGGCGGGTTTTTGCCAATGACAAGAGGATGGTCTTGGTCTCTAAAGGGATCTTCAAGCAGTCGAACGACTCAGGTGACCAATCCACGTCTTCAAGAGCACTGACTGCGCACTCCACTGAAATCACATTAGTCGGACGCCAAACATTGTCAGTAGACTTACATACAGAAAATCTTCTCCTTGAAGCTGAAACAGCATACTGTTGGGCAGGCGACCAAGAAATCGGTCTCGCTCAGTTTTTGTGCATCCACTCCGTCTCCTTGCATTCTCTCCTTCTCCCGCTCGCGATCCTCCTTGAGCATCGCACCTATGTTAATAACTGCAATTCCATCCTTTTCCTTGACCCCTAGGTCGCGGAGTGAAGGTCGGGAATAGTTTGGCTGCATTTCATGAAAAAATGCGGCGTCCACTCCCACTCGACTGTTGACGTTGACTTTGATAGCCTTCCCCTTGTTCATAAAGAACGCGCTGCCTCTACAGTGCCGAATGTGTGAGCCGGCCAAATTGCGAAACTTTTCGCCTCTTTCGACCAAGTCTTTCCGGACTTGCCCGTGCCTTGGATGGTAGCGGAGAGGGAAGGCCTCAAGACTCTCGATCGGCTTTGACCCCCGGAACTTTGCCAGACGCAGAAACATTCCGGCCTCGCCGAACTTGACTCCGTCATAATCAAAGAATCGGCACTCGAGATTCCACCACGTCTCGTCATTTTGTGTCATCTCTTCCCCCGCTTCGAATCTGACACATCGCGGCTCTTTTGTGCCAATGCATGTGGTATAAACATGGCAACCAGGCTTGAAAAGCGCCCAAAGAAGGTCATATGTAATATGACCGTACTGCAGCATTGATTCGAGACGCTGCGAGGTGGCTGAATATGCTTGCTTGAGGTGGTCGATGAGCAAGCGGAGGTGCTGACGTGGGAATTCACAGTCCGAGTTGTCCATATTTTCGGCATACTTGCCGAGCTCTGGGAGGAAATGGAAAAGGATATTTTGCTCGATCTAACCAATGTCAGCGATCTTCGTGGAGATAATACTCTGTCTCAATTACCGATGGCTTGTCTTCCATCAGGCTAATGGCCTTGATATCATGCAGCACCTCACGCAGGATGTTGCGCAGGCCTTCCGATTTGATGTCAATGTACGGCGTCACCTCCTCAGAATTTCGTTCTAATTATACCATTAGTCTGGTCTCGGTTTCCAGGCAAAACATTACGTACCAACACGTTCACGGACAACGAATGCATATTCAGCATAATCGTCCAGACCACTGCTGGTCTCCGCCGGTTCGACAATCTTGTATTTACATGCTTCTTTGTCCCAGCTAGATCCGGGTCAGCCATTTTCTGAAGGAATTAGAAGGGGAGATTGGCTGGTGGCTCATACGTTTCGACAACTGCTTTGAATGAGGGTGTAGATGCCCACTTCTCAAACAATTTGAAGTCATCCGGCGTCGTACTGATTGGATGTTTGAGATCTGTTCCATCTGCTACCGCAATGTCCTCCTGTTCATTGCTTGCAGGACAAGAATGATCAGGCTTGGCTGCCATGGAGAGTTCAGCCGAAGCACATTCATCACTGGTGAGGTTCACCAGCAGTTGCTTCAGTCGAACCATGTCAGGGCTTGGTGGGGACTGGTCCTGGGAGATAGGAGTGTTTGGAGGTTCTTGGTCGGTAAGATCAAGCAGCGCATTTCCAAGAAACACACCAAAGAGATGCATCAGATCCTTCAAGGTGGCAAGAGGTATAGTCGACTCCTTCGTTGGGCTATTGGGTGGTGTCAAGCCTTGGTGGCAGGAAGGAGTCTTCAGTGCCATGTTGAGCAATTTGAACGACTGAAAAATATCGGTGCGATATGGGAAGCTGGTATGGAGTGGCCCAAGAGACTGGAATGCCAATGATGAAGGGAAAGATCAATAAGAACCTGAGGAATTGCTCCTTCTTATGTGTTCGTTACTCTGGACTTCTGTGTTTTCCAAGATTATACTCACAGCTCAAGATTTTGCTTCCCCTCACGTTCAGCGTTTAGCTGCATAGAAGTGCATTGTACGGTGCATGCATGATATACGAAGTAAACTGCTAATTTTGATTGGATAAGCTCAGGTATTATTCAGTTGGTGGCGTCGCTTTTGCATCGAACCACTAAATCGTGGTGTCGTTCTAAGCTCTGTAGGTATCGGAAGCACCAGCTTAATGACGCGGTAGACTTGGCGACCAATTGCAGTGATGATCACAGAATTGTGATCCCTGTGGAACGGCATCACAGGATTGTGTTCCCTGACGGATAACTTCCCCGTAGGCAGTGGTATCACAAAACTGTGATCCTTGTAGAAGGGTATCACAAAACTGTGTTTCCTCTGACGTACCTAACTGCGAAAACGGACAAGTAGGAACGGGAACGCCCGAGACCGAAGTGGGGCTGGGGTTTGACGGTTATTGAAAATTAATTTTCCGGATAGCTTCAACCGACCACTGCCCCGCAGCTGTTTGCATCGTCGGCTTCAGGCACAGCCAGTCTCAGTTATGGCATCATCCGCATTCAAGCTAGATGTGGCAAGGAAGTATCTCCTCGAGGAGGGATTTTTGATTTGAATGACTCAACGGTTGGCGAGCGTGTCTTGGAGATGGAGAGGCGGGGCTTCCCATACCTCACCGAATATGGTATGGACTTTTGCAAGCAATTTGCCTTTGATGAAGTAAGCAGAATGATACATCTCCGTGGCTACCATCTAATCATCTTCAGCGAATCCGATCTATCCTCGAAACCTCCCTTGAACGGTGCAGCCTCGGACACTGGCTGAGATACGAAGAATTCCCTGGCCATGTCGAATGCTTCAGGAGGGGTGGTCTAAAAGCTGGTCGCCGTGTTCTAATGGTGCATCTGTGGGCCAAAGGATCGCGAGCGGAGTATTATACCCTTTCGCATCTTTGCGACTTGGCGACTACGAAGGGGAGAAGATCCTTATATGAGATTCCCCAATCCGAGCTGGATCGTGTGGGCTCTAAGCCCGAGGTGAAGGATTTTCCAGATGGTGGCTTGTAAGTAATATATTTATATTATAGTGTCAGGATCTAACAACTGTAGGGTGATTCTAGATGCTAGACTCGGTTTTAAGATCGAGCAGGGATATGCCATTACGTTTCTTTTTGCCACGGATGAAGTGATCGCCAACTGGGCGAAAATGATCCTTCCACACTCAGAAGGACTGGAACATAAAGTCAGGGAATTAGAGATGCTGAGCGCGAAAATTGGACTGAACTTCACGTTTGAGGGTTCTGGTGGAAGCACAAAGAATTAGCCCTCATTATTCACGGTATACTGCAGCTTCTGTGGCTATATCCACAAAATCATCTTGAGCCGCCCATCCGGTCGACAATGCTGGGATACTGTTCATAATCTGAAGGATAGGAGCATCAAAATCTTGTAGCAAGTCGAGATCTTGGGTTTGCCCTTCTCCGGGATTGAAGTAGATTTCCTCCGTTGACATGTTCGAAGAGCTGTTAGGATTGACGGTATCAACCATGGTGCTCAGCCGGGGTAAGGCTATGGGCGACTGCATCGGGATTAGGGGTGCAGATAGTTCATCGCGAGCCTGGCCGAGCTGGCGAAAACTGTCACCCTCATTGCTTTGGGAAAAAAGACTTTGGTCCAAAGCCGTCATACCGATCCTGTCAAACTTGGCTTGAGCTCCCGAAATATCGGAGCCCAAAGCTGCCACTTCCCATTTCCGTTTCTTCCCCACAAGAACGCTTGATCGACACTGGCTCATTGCGAGAGCTAGTTGTTTGTCGGATTGTTCGCGTAACTCATCACATGTTTTCTTGATGAATGACCGTTTTCTTTCGCATGCTCCATCATGTCTATCGGCATGTCTAATGAACTCGCTCACGAGCCTGAAAACTTTAAAACAGCACACACAAACTTCCTCGCATGTGACATCTGAATTAATAATTAATAGAAAGCAGCGCGTCAGAGAGGACACCACTTGCGTTGTTGGAAGTGCCGCCGGAGTCCCTGCATTTTCGGAAATGGCTTCGCACGTTCACAGGATGGACAGAAACGCCCTTTGGAAGCTCCAGTCTTCCTTATAGTGCTCATAGGATTTCCGGCATCTTTGTCATAAATATGTTGGTCATCGTCGCTCTCGCCTTGGTCGTTGTCGTCCTTCCCTCGACAGTCATCACCATTGGGCCTCGAATGGGCTCGACACCGCTCGAGTTCGGCTTGCAGGCGCTGTTCGCGGGACTGGAAGAAGTCAGCTAAGTGACACGACTTATCTTAGCGTTACTAACACGATATTCTTCCAAATGCTCGAGTAGATTTAATTCTGTTTCAAAGAAGGCTGAGCAAGCACACTGTGGTTGTGTGTTTGACATTATTGAGGATGGGGTGCCGAGGAGAGGTAGGTCCACCCAACTTTTCCCATGGTTCGGCGGAAGCTCGATTAGTCAGAATCCGAGAAATCGGCCGGAATCCAATAAATACCGAGCAGGGCCGCCGCCGTTGGGCAGAAAGAACATCAGCCTTTTGCTCACAGAACTAATGAGGTTTTCCTGACTTGCTCTTAAATTACCGCTCAAGCCATCAAGAATCTACTTCTTTACCTACTTTTCACCTTGACGAGGACGAAGATGGCCCCATGTGAAACCTGCCTAGGCAAAAAGACCGTGAACGGCATTGCATGTCCAACCTGCAGTGGCAAGAATTGAAGATCAGCTGGTGAGCTAACACTCTAGCCGAAAATACTTCTTCATCCTTGATATCGTTAACACCTAGGAGCGTTCAGTTAAGCCATTCTTTGTCGATATAACTACAATCATATGCTCACGCAGGAAGATCGTGCGGACTGATCAAAGCGACATGCAGCTGTTATCACATGATCGGATATATCATATTTTCCTGCCTGGAACTATGGTTGCCTGGCCTCGGGGTATTACATTGAAACGGCTACTCGTCCCCGCGCGGTTATGCGACCGACTTCTATTCTCTTAGAAGCATCCCTTGGAATTTCCTTTTTATAAAACGTGGGCTTGAAAAAACTAAAACACGGATGATTGAAGTTCAGGTGTGTAGATTTTTTTCCAACCACAGTATGCGTATTAATTCAAAGTCGGTCAGGTTTCCCATCCACCGTTTATGAAGAGGACTCGGGCTGTTGCAGTTGGATTGGCGATGCGGGTTTGCTGGAACAGTTTTATGCATTTGGAATTTTCTAACGGTACTACTCGGTTTTGAGTTATTGCTCAAATATCCCCGTTCCGGATCTTTGAATTTTTATTTTATTTTATTTTTTTGCCTTTTTGATATTGAGACATCTCCGCAGTAAGAATGCCAAGGTTGTATCGGTTGTTTTGGGCACACGGCCTGCATTGACAAGCCGCCGTAAAGTAAGACCATTTGCTAGTAAGGAGGAAATGGATGACAAACATCTTGGTAATGCTCTGATCGACACAGACTTCGGGTAGCGGTAATCAATGAGAAGATCGCGCGGAGGCTGCGTATTTTCTGGCAAAGAACTTGAGGCGAAATTTAGCGTTTGACATTGCTAGGGTGATAGATAGATACGGGAAGAATATTGGAATAGGGGACTTACAAAACGGTTGGAGAACAGGATCCGTGTCAATCCGGCAAGCACTGTGAGAAGGCGAGTCGCTAGGCAAGAGGACTGGTGGCCCGGGCTTCAGATTACGATGATTGCTATGTCTAGATTTGGCCTCCTCTTTTGTCCGCCTTGGAGGGGCAAGAGGAGATCGACTCTAGACAAACCGTGCCTCCATACGAAAAGGCCTTCTGGTTTTATTCTATTGCAAGTAATTCTATGAGCCTAATTTGGGCGCAGTATTTAGATTCATACCGCGAATTGTCGCAATAAAGCGTATGTCATATGATTGAAAATGCGTCCCCTTTCATTCAGCTTCGGACAGTTTGAGGAGTTGCTTTAGCTGAAAATCTCCTCGATAGCTTTCCATGGCCTCCGCTTTCCAGGTTTCCCAGTTTGAATCGCCTTCGATGCCCAAGGTCTTGAGTAGCCCGAAAAAGAGCCCAATGAATCCGTCCCAATCATCGAGGTCATATCCACAACAGAATTGGATTCGATGAAGAAGCCGCCCATTTCTGACTATCTCCCCAAGATCTGGATGTCCTTTCTCTTCCAAGCACTTGGCAAAGAAAGCTTCATCTTCGCCGATATGATCAGCCCCTTCGTAAAAATCCGCAACCGGAAGAAGCACAATTGGCGAGTTGAAAGCTGCTGATTTCGAATCAGTCTGGGCCCATTCCCAGTCAATAATGCCTGTTATGTTGTAGTCGTTGTCAACGAGGATCTGATCCCCCTTTTCGTCCGCATGTTTCAAGTAGAACATCCCATCGTCGAGAGAGTTTCTTGAAAAGATTTTGGGGATAATTTCTAGGAGAAAACGATGTATCAAGAAAGCATCGACTGGGCGGTTGACGTAGGATTCTTGTCGTATTATCAAATCCAATATCAATCGAATGTGTGCGGTGAAGTATTCTTCTGAAGACGAATAGGGCCCAAGCATTTTCATATGCAAGTCCTGAAAGTCGGTCAATGACTCTCGTGCGATGGGGCCCACATGAGAAGAGTTCTGCTGATTGAAAGAGCCCATTACCGAGAAGGGATAACTTTTCAGTTCAATGTAAATATCCGCAAGCTGACTAGCAATTTTTTGCCTCTGCTCAGGGGTAGTAATTGACCAGCGCAATGATTTCCCAGGCAACTTCTCCATAAGGATATAACCAACACCGACAGGGTTTGATTCGTCTGCATTGAAGTCAAAAACCGTAGGAACAGGAACTTTTGTCTTGCTCAAGAACTGCAATGTTGAGACTTCGCTGCGCAGTATGTAATCCCGCAGCTCCGGGGGTGGGGAAGTAGCGTTGAATCTTCGGATACGCGCGAGCCAGCTTTTCCCATCCTCGAATAAAATCTCGATATGATAATTCATGCCTCCCATAACTGAGCTACGCAATGCTCTGTCATATTGTAGACCCTGGGCTACAGAGCACGCGAGACCGCCGCGGAGACTGCTAGCACGTCGAGTGAGCGCTAAAATATCAATCTTTTCAATAAGAGTCGTGATTTCTTTCTTTTCAGCCTCTTGAGCAGCAGGGTCGTAATGATGCTCATCCTGTTCAGACCGAAAAAAATCAGTAGCCATTTCAATTTGTAGGATTTGATTCACAAACCTCCCACTTTGGGCACGTATGATACTCTGGCCCCAAATGTTTCGCGCAAAGATGGAGATCACAAAGGACGCAGTCCCCATACGTGCGAACAGAAGGTTTGTTGCAACCGTCAAAATCACAATGCCAAATTGCCATTGTTCGAAATTGAACGGGGATATCGTGAAATAGCGAAGCAGAGACGATAATGTCGAGCCTTGTATCTATCCGTTAAGACCCTAGAACGACCCCTCCTGGTGGCTGGAATGACCCGTGCTGAATAAGTAATGTCAAACTTGCATAGACCGTGTACGATTGACACGTGTCCTTTACTGACGCAGTGGTCATCATCATATACGCACAGGCCTTGTCAGCATAGAAGACTAGATCCGATTTAGCTGCAACCCTTGTCACAATCAATGGTACGTGACTTTCGAGGGACATGAGCTTGCTCCTGGGCCCCGTGCTTATCAGGTATGATGATGGGACACTTTCAGCCGCGGCGCTGGGCTACCAGACTTCATAGGCCAATGTCAGGCTTGGCAGTGTGACTGATGCAGTAGCAGCGTCAGACCTTGGGAGGTATCGCATGCATCAGCAGGCAGCATTGCATTCGTGTTGGTGGACTGGACCTCAAATAGTAGGTTCTTCCCCGGAGCTGCTCGAAGATACTCTACTGCTTTCCTACTGCGTTTCTCTATTGTATTCGAACAATTTCTCCATCATAATCAATTTGAAGTCCCTACTTCACCAGCCCAAGATGCCAAGTCCCGCCATCAAGTGTGTTAAGCAAGGCTGTAATACGTGGGCCGAGAGCGGATCGAAGTTCTGCACTGCCCATAGTACGCTACATTTGCCTCGATACACCTGGAACACTTCACTGATTTTGGCTTACCATAGAGTGAGCACTAAACCCGAGACGTTGAACGTGGAATACCGTGTTGTTCGCGCTACATATTGGAGGACTTGGATGATGTAGTTGGGCTCTCCAGATTAGACAAGACGTGCTGGTGGCATTGGTGGCGCTGATTCAATGCCATATGTAAAGTTCAGGATCGGAACTCGGGCATTGAATGGAATTATTCTTATAATCCAACACCGTGATCTTGTTCCTGTCTGGCTTCTGCCTCGTTACTTCTTACTTATTCCTGCTTTCGCCTCTTGTCTGCCTGCAGGAAGGGGCTCTGTAATCTAGGGAGATGTTTATCAAGAAACCAGTCACGTTCCTGTTGACGGTTCTATCGGTGCCAGGAGCTCATCTCTTGACCCTGGGAGTTATCTTACTCCCAGGGGCTCCTGAAACATTCCTGGGAGCAAAGAAGCAGCTTCTAGGAGCCACGTAGCCCCCAGGAAACCCGATGTAGCTTCCGGGGCCTTGGTATCCCTACCTCTGGGAATCAAAGCCGCGTTCCTGTTGACGACTTGTTGAATCCTGGGGCGATGATTTGGCCTCCTGGGGGGATCCAATGACGCAGAATTGTGCGCAGGGTTGGTGAAGGTGTCTTGTGAGAGCTTCTGCGATCCTCGGAAGGCAGTATAGTGACTCTAGGACTCTAACGTAAGCTCCCAGGGGCGTCATAGCTCCCA